TAAATCGTGCACACGATTTATAAATCGATGGAACAAAATAGTAAATTATGCACATGATTTATAAATCGAGGGAACGAACTAGTAAATTATGCACATGATTTATAAATCAAGGGAACGAAATAGTAAATCGTGCACACGATTTATAAATCGAGGGAACAAAATAGTAAATTGTGCACATGATTTATAAATTGACGGAACAAAATACTAAATCGTGCTCACAATTTATAAATCGAGGGAACAAAATACTAAATCGTGCTCACAATTTATAAATCGAGGGAACAAAATACTAAATCGTGCTCACAATTTATAAATCGAGGGAACAAAATACTAAATCATGTGAACAAATTATAAATCGTGCTCACAATTTATAAATCGAGGGAACAAAATACTAAATCGTGTGAACAAATTATAAATCGTGCTCACAATTTATAAATCGACGGAACAAAATACTAAATCGTGCACACGTTTTAGTACATCGAGGGAACAAAATACTAAATCGTGTGAACAAATTATAAATCGTGCTCACAATTTATAAATCGACGGAACAAAATACTAAATCGTGCGCACAATTTATAAATTGAGTGAACGAAATAGTAAATTGTGCACATGATTTATAAATCGAGTGAACGAAATAATAAATTGTGCACATGATTTATAAATCGAGGGAACAAAATAGTAAATTGTGCACATGATTTATAAATCGAGTGAACGAAACAGTAAATTGTGCACATGAATGAACTAGTAAATTGTGCACATGATTTATAAATCGTGGGAACGAAATAGTAAATCGTGCACATGATTTATAAATCGAGGGAACGAAATAGTAAATCGTGCACACGATTTAGCCTACTATTTTTTCCTGCATGCTATGTGCGGGGCTCCGTACAAAATTGCTAAAACTTTAACCGAAATTAAAATGAAAACAGATAAAATATATACATAAAAACTCATTCAAAATATTAATATTTTGTACAAGGCAAAAATTATTTTTGCTGGGTGAATTCACATAAACTGCACCACTTTTTCCACTCATCTCACTTGCTCGAAGTGGCCCAGTTTAACTGGATTCACTCACTAATGTGAAAATTAGATTTTATAGACAAGTGAAATGTCATATATTTCTATGCAAATGATTTAAATATGTTTAGCAAAATTACAAAAATGTTTTAGCTATTATTTAGCCATGTTCTTTAAAAAAGATAGATAGATATATAGATAGATAGATAGATAGATAGATAGATAGATAGATAGATTGTGTCAGCAACCGTATAAACACCTGTATTTTTGGACCGTGGAAGGAAATCAGGCTATAATAAATAGCACACATACTTCATCAAAAGTGACCTCCTCCAGATCCCAGTTGTTGATGTTGAAGAGCAGCACCACTCGGCCGTACTTGTCTCTGGTGGAGAGGATTCGTGGGTATCCGGCTTCAATGGCACTGCGCACAGCCTCTGCAGTTAAATTCTCAAACAACTCTGGATAGTCTCGCCTAAAACGCACATAACCTGTCAAAGAGGGAGAAAATCAATTCATGATTTGTACAATGTAATTGAAAGTGTGCTCATTTATGGCATTGTAAGTGAATTCCCATTAAGTCCTCAAGAGGTTCAGAAGACATCTCAACAATGTCTCAAATAAAAACTCATTCAAAATATTAATATTTTGTACAAGGCAAAAATTATTTTTGCTGGGTGAATTCACATAAACTGCACCACTTTTTCCACTCATCTCACTTGCTCGAAGTGGCCCAGTTTAACTGGATTCACTCACTAATGTGAAAATTAGATTTTATAGACAAGTGAAATGTCATATATTTCTATGCAAATGATTTAAATATGTTTAGTAAAATTACAAAAATGTTTTAGCTATTATTTAGCCATGTTCTTTAAAAAAGATAGATAGATAGATAGATAGATAGATAGATAGATAGATAGATAGATAGATAGATAGATTGTGTCAGCAACCGTATAAACACCTGTATTTTTGGACCGTGGAAGGAAATCAGGCTATAATAAATAGCACACATACTTCATCAAAAGTGACCTCCTCCAGATCCCAGTTGTTGATGTTGAAGAGCAGCACCACTCGGCCGTACTTGTCTCTGGTGGAGAGGATTCGTGGGTATCCGGCTTCAATGGCACTGCGCACAGCCTCTGCAGTTAAATTCTCAAACAACTCTGGATAGTCTCGCCTAAAACGCACATAACCTGTCAAAGAGGGAGAAAATCAATTCATGATTTGTACAATGTAATTGAAAGTGTGCTCATTTATGGCATTGTAAGTGAATTCCCATTAAGTCCTCAAGAGGTTCAGAAGACATCTCAACAATGTCTCAAACCTTTCTCACATTTGCCAAGATATCGAGGTCTGCAATCTACAGTCATCATATTCTTCAAAGACCAGGCGATCTGTTGTTCATTTTACAGCTCTAATACTCTTACGACAATAATTGTTGATTTATATGTAGTGTTTACTTTAACCTTGTAAAGCCTGGCATAATAGTCAGAAATAATACTCTAAAAATGTTTTACATTTTTTTATCTATTGACAAAATATGAAAGAAAATCAAAAAATATTGATAAAAAAATCCTTATGTCTTTTTTGAGTATCATACTTGGTAAATCAGGCTTTTATAGTGTGATATAGTGAGAATATGGAGTTAAAACTGAGCACAAATACACAATTTGGTGTAGTTGCTGATTTTTATATGGCCAAAAAGTAAGATGAAATTCTGATAGCCTGTAATGCAAAATCAATGAGAATTTTTTTTTATAACAGTATAGTAGACTACTTACACAAAATGCATATAAATATCAGATATCACTCTATATGTCCCAAAAATATATAATGCTTAGGTTTCTGATCAAAGTTAGTTTTTATTGTGGGACAAAACATACAATGATGATTGAGAGATTAACAAATAAATGCTCCTCAAAAGCCTGATGTATCATATTTGATACATTTTAATATGAATTGTTCTAAAAAAAAAAAAAGATGTATATGTATAATGAAGTACACCTAAGTCGCTTCAGTCTAGTAAGTGTTCATTTTAAAATATTACTACCAACAAAAAAGTTATTCTCACGTTTACTTTATACAAATCAGTAAAGATTTCACAGCAAGACACATGATCCGTGATTTTTTAGAGTGACGCTAAAAGGCCCTGTACTTGCTAGAAACGATCAATCAGACGACAGTAGGCATGTAGTAGATTGTGTACTACAGGTTTTTCAGCAAAGTTATGTATTTATCAAATATGATAAAGCAGGCTTTATAGGGTTAATTTATGTCTATTTTGTATAATAAATTTCAGGAGCTATGAAAGAGCAATCTTTGTTTGTTGCCATTTTATATGGGAATAATATCAATTCATTTTCTTGTCATTCTATCTTAGTGTGTTTTGCTTTTTTTTGCAGTATTTTGTCCTGGTTCTCATGCATTGAAAGGTTCAGTCGTGTGTGAGCGAGTGTGTTTGACATGTTTCTGTGGGCCGTGCATGTGTATTAAAAATGTCAGTTTTGTGTGAAATACACAGAACATCAAAGCTCAGCCTGTCTGCCTGTTCTCACAGAAAGAGAACCTGCCCTATTTCTGCACAAAGGCTCTCTTTGAAAGTTTCAAGAAAAGCCAAATTAAAGCAGAGAATTTCTCCCTGTCCCAGAGCCTGAGGATGCAAAGATGAAGACAAAAGCATGTTCAGACAGCCACAATGACACAGCCTAGCGGGAAAACAATGGGGCTGTGTCTTTTCGCAAACTTGTAAATGCATTTAATAAAACGCTTTACCTTTCATAAGCTCGTGTGCTCTGGTCACGTCAAACTTTCGGGCACGTATGAATCTCAGAAGAAGGGAATCTGGTTGGTTCTCAAATTTTTCTTGCACAGCTTTAGCAATATTGTCCCCTTCGCTTGCCTTTTCTTGTATCATGGCCCTCAATTCCTTTATGGAAGACACTTTCCTCTCCTCCGTTTCATTCAGTTCATCTTTAGCCTTTGAGATGGGAAGATGAATGCACATAAATGTGTGACTAAAATATATGTTATAGGCTTTCTAGCAGGGTATAATATTGTGATACCTTCTGTTTTGTGTGATCCGGTAGTTTCTTGCAGGGTCCGTAAACTGGACCGTGGTCCTTAATGCTCAGATGTTCGAGTTTAGTGCGTAACGCCTGCTCCTCCTCAGACACCATACGAAATGTTCCGGTCTAATGGGATGAAAATGAAAAGAAAGGCTTATATTATGTGCCATGCTTGACAGAATCACAGACAAGAGGGTTTAAAGAAAGCTAATCCCGTGTCCAACTCTCAGTAAACCAGTGACTATTTAATAATCCCCATCACATGACCTACTGAAACACCTTGAGAAACAAGAGATTAGTTCATCCCATCGACTGCATTTAACAATAGAGGTTATTATGGAAGCTGAAAGAGTAGTTACTTACAGCAGCCATGATGCTGAGATCCTCCAGTGGCTGAACGGAACTGAAAACAAATGTCATATTTCACTGTACATCTCTAGATTTAATGATAACGCTGGTTTAAATGGTATATTTGAGAGTTAAATAAAGTATAAGTTTACAACTTTTGCATGTAGATTCTTTTCCTTGTAAAAATAAAACCAAATATTAATGTAAGAAAGGTCATTTTTAGGATTAATTCTCTAAAATGAATCCTGTTTCTCAAGGCTTTTCTAGTCTTTGCTGCAACAATCTTCACTTTATTTATTAAGATTACTTATTGTTCAACATGCATAATTTTGTTACTTTTTAAAAATTGATCTTAAATAATTTAATTAAAATTTGTCTAAAATAGACAGACAGATAGATAGATAGATAGACAGACAGA